GGCTGTGATACTGAGAGACATTTCCTCTCCCTGGATGAGGCCAGCTGATAGCATTTCCCAGGGTCTTGCTTTGCATTTGATTCCTTTCAGCGTCAGTCGTGAGGGGTCTGACCTGGGCGATTGCTCAGTGCTCCCCAGCAATACTGCATATTGCTCTGTCTTTTGCCTCGGAGCGGGATTGGTGAGGCATAAAGGAGGGCACTGCTGAGACCAGAGATGGTTGAGAGAAAGCCATACTTAAAGCCTAGTGAAAGTGAACAGTCGCTCATTTGGAGAGCAGCAGTTCCCCAGGCAGCCTTGTCTGGGCTTCAGAGGGACACATGGGTCCCAGCGTGTGGCTTCTGGCAGAGCCTGTCTTTACACACTCCGTTCTCAGCCGTGGCCCAGGGAGTTTGTGACGGGTTGGTTCACAGAAACCCCCTTGGGGCTGCCAACTGATGTGTCCCTGCTTTCCTGCCCTGGCAGCTTAGGACTTCAGTGCCCTGCCTGGTTTGAGCCAGACCCGCTAGCCTGCTGCTAACCCAGACCCAGGGTCTGAACCACGTCCCCTAACAGCTGTAGGCTTAACTGAAAGCAACTTACAGAAATGTTCCTGTCTTTAACACTCAGATGTCCAACTCCCAATGGGGTCCAAGCCCCAAATAAATCCGTTTTACTCTGGATAAAGCTTATAAATTAAATAAATAAATAGAGATATCCTATCTTCTAGAACTGGAAGGGACCTTGAAAGGTCATTGAGTCCAGCCCCCTGCCTTCACTAGCAGGACCAAGTTCTGATTTTGTCCCAGATCCGTAAGTGGCCTCCTCAAGGATTAAACTCACAATCCTGGGTTTAGCAGGCCAATGCTCAAACCACTGAGCTATCCCTCCCCCCCCCCCCCCCCGGTAAACCTCATAAATTGTTCGCCCTCTATAATGATTAGGGGGCTGGAACACAGGACTTACGAGGAGAGGCTGAGGGAACTGGGATTGTTTAGTCTGCAGAAGAGAAGAATGAGGGGGGATTTGATAGCTGCTTTCAGCTACCTGAAAGGGGGGTCCAAAGAATCATAGAATCATAGAATATCAGGGTTGGAAGGGACCTCAAGAGGTCATCTAGTCCAACCCCCTGCTCAAAGCAGGACCAATTCCCAACTAAAGAGGATGGATCTAGACTGTTCTTAGTGGTACCAGATGACAGAACAGGGAGCAATGGTCTCAAGTTGCAGTGGGGGAGGTTTAGGTTGGATATTAGGAAAAACTTTTTCACTAGGAGGGTGGTGAAGCACTGGAATGGGTTACCTAGGGAGGTGGTGGAATCTCCTTCCTTAGAGGTTTTTAAGGTCAGGCTTGACAAAGCCCTGGCTGGGATGATTTAGTTGGGGATTGGTCCTGCTTTGAGCAGGTGGTTGGGCTAGATGACCTCCTGAGGTCCCTTCCAACCCTGATATTCTATGATTCTATGCTACCTTGAATGTCCTCAAGTAGACTTCTTATGTGGATTGGAGCATTCCAAGATTCATTGTCCTTTAAGTGTCTCTTGATTAGGTACTTAACTTCAACATTCCTTTCTCCAGGAACTGACCAAATGCTCTACTAAAGTTATTTAGAAATCAAGCCAGTACACAGCCAATATTCATAACTTTGAATACAAAAACGAGACATGCATACAGACAGGATTAATAGATTCAGTAGATCAGGCCTGCACAACTCGTAAAGCGGCGAGGGTCATATTACTCCAAAGAAAACAGCTGAGGGCTGACTCCCCCAAGCCCCCCAAAACACAACCCCCCCCCAGTGCCGCCTGCCCCGCAGAAACAAACCCTCCTTCCCCAGCGCTGCTGTGGGCGAAAAGGAAGATTTTGGGGGGGGGGTGATACTTTATTAAGAATTTTTCAATTAAAGCAAACAATTGTATGTATGGCACACTAGGAAGGCACTGACAGTGTGTGGAAGCCTGTAGTGTAGAGGGGGAAAGAAACGGCGTGCATAGGGTGACCAGATCACAGCAATAAAATAGGACCCACCCCGTCCCCGCTCAGCCCCACCATCACACCCCTCTTCACCCTCTAGCCCCCCCGCTGGCTTGTTGCGTCCCTCCTAGTCAGTCCCCCACCCACCACTCGCCTCCTTTCACCTCCTCCCTCCCCTGCCAGAAACCCCCCATGCCCGCCCCTGGACCCCCTGCTGGCTCACTGCTTGCCTCTTTGCCCACCTGCCACTTGCCCACGCTGGCCTCTCGCCCCCTCGCCCCCCCCCCAAGTACTAAAAAGACCTCATTCAAAGACCCAGGGGTCACTATATTACTGCACACAGCAGTCAATCAATGCAGTTGTAGATAAATCTCTGCATTATACATTTTTGTATAACTTTTATATGACTTTGTATTGAACCTTGGTAATATGTTATAGCGGGCCCCTGAGGAAGTATAATCAAGGTAAAAGAAAAATGTCTTTTTGCTAGAAGTAGAATAAGATCTTCCCCCCACTTTGTAATCCATTGCCCTGTTGAATGAATGAGGAAGGTGTGGAAGGCAGCACCTCCAGACAGCTGCAACCCTTGGAGAGGGGATGGGAGCCAGACCAGATCAGGATCAATGCTGCTCGCTTACCCGGATGTAATGGGCCAGTGGTAGCCACTCCATAGTTCAGACTGATCCTAACTTACAACTAAGACCCATTTTTAACTTCCGTGTAACTTCTCCAAAACATTACGAGATTCCCTGAGCTCTCCTAGGCCAGGTAGGATTTGTCTGGGAGGTTTGGTAACCTTCAGAAAAGGGGTTTTGCAATTAAGGTATTTCACAAATATCCATCATTCCCTTTCTGAACGTTTTCCTAGCTTCCTACCCCCAAAATGGCTTGGCCCCAAACACCAGGTGTCTGGCTGAGTCAGACGGGGGCCTGTGGGTAGTACTGGGGGATACCATGGGGATCACAAAGACCTGTGTCATGTTTATAACATTGACTCTGTAAATTATTTAAACTGCCCTTCTGCTGAGTTCTGGCTCTGTGGCAAGGGCTGTTCTGCAGAGGAAGAGGTGGGAGCCCGGAGTGGGTGGGATGTGGCTAGGATTCTTGGGGGTAGGGCAGGCGGGATGGGGAGGAACAGGGAAGAATGATATGGCTGTGGGGTTAGATCCCTGAACTGTTCATTTCCAGACTGTCCCGCCTTTGAGTTTTTAGGGAAGCTGTCGAGTATTTGTAAGTGCGATTTGTTGATGGGCTTTTAACTGGGCTCCTCTAAAATTTACAGCTTAACTCTTCCGCTAATGAAGTGGTTCGGATTTATGTGCAGTATGTCATAGTTCTCTCTTCTCTAACACGGGGATGGATATTTGATTTGATCCTGTCCTCACTTTTCCTTTGCACTCCTGGGGACAGACTCGGCTGCACAGGTTCCCAAAGTGTGGTGGGATTGAGTCCAGAGAGCTGGGTGTGTGCACATGGGGCCAGCTTCTTCTGACTGCGAGATAGAAAGAAGCTAAATATACATTTAATCGTCCTCCTAAGGTGGCTTTTCCATGGAAGCAGTTGCTGCAGTGACGACAGGCACATGAACCCATGAGGCAGTCCCTGCATTAACCAGTTTTCCACACTATGAAAAAGTTGAAGAACCCCTGATCCAAACACAGCAGCCTGTCTGGTCCTAGGATTAGCAGTGATTCCCCCCAGAGACTGTCAAGCCTTAATGACCCAGTTTTCTTTACCACCCTGGGGCAGTTACTTGAACATTTGGGACCGTCGGGGGCATTCTGCAATTTCCCCTCTCCCAATTGCCCCTCCACCACTGCCCGCCTCCTTGCCCCTGCCCCAGCTCACCTACTCACCCCCCGCCACTGCCCACCCGCTCGCCTCCTCAGCCCGCCCTCCCCCGCCGCTGGTTCACCTGCCCCCCCCCCCGCCTCGCCTCCTCAGCCCCCTCCCCCCCCGGCTCACCTGCCCCTCCGCTCGCCTCCTCAGCCCCTCCCTCCCTCCGCCGCCTCACCTGCCCCCCCACTTGCCTCCTCAGCCCCCGTCCCCCGCCCACTTGCCTGGCCCCTTACCTTCTGCCACTGCCCCCGCCTCCTGCCGCTGGCTCACCCTCACTCTCCACTCTGTCATTGGCCCCTTCACCACCCTGCCTACCCGCCGGCCAGCCGTTGGCTAGCCTACACTCCCTCCCCCCCCCCCGCGGGCTGCACAGTCTGCAGGGCTGGCTCCAGGGTTTTTGCTGCCCCAAGTGGGGAGGGGGTGTGCCTGGAGCTGGCCCAGACAGTGAGTCCACCTACTCACCCCCTCGCGGGCCACACAGTAAGCCCACGCGGGCCACATGTTGTGCAGGCCTGCAGTAGATCATAACCTTTGAGATATGTTACATGGCATATGTAGCATAAAACACATTCTAAGCATATTTCCATAAAGCCTTATGGGAGGTACCGTCACAGTAGGTACTGGCATACTAGTAGGAGTACATTGGGTTGCTATCTTTGGATGTGGTATTAAACCAAGGTCCTGACCACTTGGCCAGTAAAATTCTCAGAATGCTTTTCACAAGAAAGAAGTGTTAGCCATGTTGTCCTACAGAAATTGCAGCTTGGGGAATTACTTTCTCCTAACCAAAATTCCCCCTTCAGTATGTGTGAAATACAGTATTCTTCTCTTCTGACCTAAACTGTTGTGTAGCACTGCATGCTTTTGAGCTATTGCTGTTTCCCCCCTCCACTCCCTCCCCCCCCCCCGCCAAAGTGCTTTTGCCTGGTGAGTGAAGTGAATGTTGTAGTTCTAGTTTATAAAGCACTAGAGCTTCCGTTTGAACAAAAGGCACTACTGTGAATAAGTAATGTATTTAGTTTTAGCCAGATGTGTTGCATTTAGCCACATGTAAGCTGCCGTTGGGTTAATAAAAGTTTAAATGATCCATTTTTTTACTTCTGACAAAAGGAAATTTCCTGTGTACTGAATGTGCTTATATTGTTCATTACAAAACAAAGTCAAAGTTCTTCAGACTAGATTCTTACTAAAATTCCTTTTTGTTTACAGATGGCCGTACAGATCCAATTTTGGATGATGTAAGTGAAGCCTTCACACTTATGGGGGTTAACCTGCATGAGCTGGAAGATTACATACACAATATTGAACCTGTCACTTTCCCACATCAAATCCCTTCATTTCCTGTCAGCAAGAACAATGTCCTACAGTTTCCCCAGCCTGGAAGCAAAGATGCAGAAGAGAGGAAAGAGTACATTCCTGATTACATGCCACCTATTGTCTCATCTCAAGAAGGTGGGAAATTAACAATTTTTTCCTTTCTTTGTTTTTATTTGTTTGAGTATTTACATATTTGTTTACATTTTCTTTAAGCTGCCCAAGTTGTGCCACCTATAACAGTGGTTTTGTAAAGCACCCATTAGGGCACTGCTCAATAATGAAATACAATCATGATAATATTAAATCATCATGCAAAATAAAGAGACCAGTAGCGTGGCTAAAGTTATAGTTCTGTTTTCCACTTTTACTGCACTTTGCATCAGAGAACACTTTGCATTTCTGTAATAATTCTCTATCTGAGGATCTCAGGTCATTAAATAAGTTAATGAATTAAACCTCACAACATCTGTCAGGTGACAAAATCGTTCTTTCTCCCTTCAAGCTAATGTTTAAAAAGCTGTTGCTATTTTGAAATGAAGTTAATTTAAAAAACTGAAGTAAAAGTAGTTTCAGGTATTACACTTGCATCTGAGTCTCTCTACTAATTTTTATGGTTTTACAGTCACACTTTTCTATTTTTAAATGCCTTCCTCTCCCCTGTTGAATGAACGATTCATAAAAATGGTAGAGGAAAGTGAAAATGCCTATACAGAAAATGCAGTGAAATAGACAATTTTTCTGTCAGCTACAGTAATCTTGTGTTAATTATAACAATAATTGAAAGGGGAAAAGGGGAATGAATTTTTTTTTTGTAATCTCTTAAGGTACAAGAATCTCAGATGTTAACCAACAATAGAAGGTAAAAAAAAAAAGACAGGTGTAACATAAATTGGCTGTCCTTTAATGATAATTACAAATAATAACAATATTTTCTAAGTATATGTAGCGCTGTGGATTAGGAAGAGAAATACTAAATAGAACAAAATGCTTACTGTGAAGAATGAACAGTACAGTTAACAGACAGAATTCTAATGTGGCATTTACTTCTTCTGAAGTAAATAACGTGGGATATACTGTGTATTATACATAATGGCTCACTGAAGAACTTAGTCTATAAGGCCTGAGACGCTAAATGTAGGCAGAAAACCCCTACAACATAAAAATGAACAGAAAATGATTTCCCTTTATTGACAACATGAATAAATCCTGTTGCTCTACTGCCACAAATGATGTGCAGAATTGTTGTTCTATTACTGATATTTACAATGCCTAGCACAACAAGGTCCTGGTCCATCACTGGGACTCTTAAGCACCAGAGTAAAACAAATAATAAATAAAAGAATTTTATTATTTGGGTAGCAGGTTTATTTTCTGCTGATTTAACCATAATGTGCTACAATTAAACTATATATTATAAACTATGCAAAGTGGCTGTAAGGAACAGTTTTCTGAAATCGGAAGAATGCCCTAAAATGTATTTTTCAGGTCTGCAGCCTTCACATTTACTTTCATTTCCTCAAAGGCAGACGTTTTTAGCAATTATTTACACACATGAGAAATATTTTAATATTTCTTGACTTAACGTGACCAAAAGTAAAATTTAAATAGTAGCAAATGTTTTTCAAGGCTTAAAGGGATTAAAATCTCTTAATTGGGAGGCCTGATAAAAGATTTGCTTTCTAAAACATTTTTTTTAAAAGAACTCTTCAAAGAGAGCTGAAAAATACAAAGCAAGAGGTAACCATAGCATAGCTGAAAAATAATTGTAAGGACATCCTATAGAATTATGTCAAGATCTTCAAAAGTGAATAGTGATTTTGTGTACTTCAATTTGTGGTTCAATTTGAGACACCTTAAAGGTGCCTGATTTTTCAGATGGTTCTTCACATCTACCATTAAAATTAGGCTACTTTAAAGTGTCTCAAATTAGACACCCAGAATCACTTGCCACTTTTGTAAATGTTGGTTTTAAAATGTAATAGAGAGATCAAGTCCAAGAGAGAACTCAATGTAGCTGTTGCGGAATATCAGTATATAGGAAAAGACGTGATGACTATTACAAACTCAGTATGGCATTATAGCTAAATATTTATATGGCGGCAATTGTGCTTTTCTTTGTAAGTAATTTCTACATTTTTTTTTCTCTTGCAAGTTAGATCCAGGAGTTAGATTAGAGCAGTCCTTATAAATATTGTAGGAATCCTTTTAACACCTGAAGCAAGAAGATACTATTTCCCGAGTTGGACAGGAACCAGGAAAACTTCTAATGCCCAAGGCTAGTGTATCAGAGGGACCACAAGCACAGGTTTTTTTAAGTCAATAAAGGAATTGATACAAATTTAAACAAGTATTACGTTGAAAATAACTCTTGTTATAGTTGCTGTACTATACTTAAGTATAGTTTAGGGCATTTTCCTAGTACGGTTAATTTGGAATTTTGAATTCAGTGGGATTACATATATGTTATATAAAAAAAAAAATTCATAACTATTTTCAGACCAATATTTTTGGGGTACATGAAATGGATCAGGAGGATCGGTTCTCAACATCTGGCACTACTTCATTGGCAAATAAAATTTGGAGGTAATTTCCTCTCTGAAATGTTATGGAACTATCCCTCAAAAACATTCTCTTAAGAATCACATCATATAGCAGTTGACTACATTGTCAGCTGATTTTACGTATGTGTAAAACTTCTGTCTTTGTTGACAGTTACATTTAATAGTTTAATGTGTTGAGTGATTTCATGTAGCGACAGAGATATAGCTACATGCAATGATGAAGTGAGGCGATGTGCATGAATCATATGAAACTTGAATATTACTCATTTTCAGGCAGTATTTGAAAACTGTACGGTTACATTTAGTTTGATATTAAGGCCTACGGCTGAGTTCATTCAGGTTTTGATTAAATTATTTTTATGGATATTCAGATATTAACAATACCACTAAGTATTATGTCATTGTAATTAGTCACTTCTGTCATAATACAAAGTTTAAATTTTTCACATTCATTTTTAGAGAACATTTGCATCAAAAACTGTGTTTAAATATGCACCATGACCAGTAGGTGTTGCTAGCCCACTTCTTAAAACTCAAGTTGCAATTGTTTTCTGTGCCTGCAAATAACATATTGCCACTTTCTTTAGAATCAGTGGTGTGACATACAAGGTATTCAGTTTGTTCAGATAGTTTGCCTGATTACTTAACTGTTTTGTCAATCTTGTTACCAAAAGTCATTAAGACAAATTTTTTGTTCTGTTCACATATGCCTCACCCATTAGAAATGCTGGAATTGGAACATGCACTCTTTACGGCTGTGCTTAATAGTAATGTGCCGAGCAGTGAAAATGCACCCAGATTTTCATGACCTGTCTCTGCCATTTAGCGTTAGCTGTGAGGTTAGTACTTTGGGCCAAATTCTCCTCTAAGTGTTTTAACTGAAAGCAGAATGTGGCTCCTTGTATTAAATCTAGAGTACTATGTTTCATTAACTTTGACTAGAAGACTTGGCATATATGTCAAGTGTATAAATTATATGGATCTATGTATAAACACACTTTTCTATAATACAATCTGATTCATCATTACCATGTTTGATGTTGGAGTTTTAGTGGTGTTTTTTACAACTAAAACTTCGGGGAAAATTTTATGCCAGTGTCATGATGTTCACTTTCTGCCTATTTTTAGTTATTCCCTCTTTTGTTTTTACAGAGTTGTTTTAGTGCTGTTGTCACTGTAATGTCATGGTGAACTTGTAAAATAGATTAATTTTTTTTTTGAGAAAAAAAATAAATTGGTTGCAAAACATGATGGTCATGCTTTATTTCTCATGCTTTAATGTAGAAGAACACAAACTTTTGCAATAATATCAACCAATTTCTATGAAGTTGGTGTTTCAGTTAAAGTAATAGAGTATAAAGAGAAATTAGGCACTTAAAAAAATCTAGATACTCAACCAAAGGGAATAATAATAATAAATTAGTATTTGTGTTGTGGTAGCACCTATAAGCCAGACCTCATTTGTATTAGACACTACAGTGTAGTTCCCCAAAATTTTAAAAAGTTCACCTGTCCCAAAGACTGATTTTACATGTGCCATAGTAACTCAGTTTCTTGGCCAGTTAAATCCCAATCCTAAATTAATATGATTGATACACAATATGTATTTCTTTAAAAACTATGACTCTATATTGTGTCATCTCTTCCCTCCCCTCCACTTTTCCCCCTCAGATTTTTTAAGGCACACACAGTAATGCACTCTGTATAATTCTTGCATTGGGATGAGAGGGGAGAAAATATGTATGCGATTCTTAGGTATGCATCAGTTTTTAACATTCTACTATATTTGCATCAGCTCTAGTTTTTTGGGACATCTTGTTAGTTCTTTAATGATCACGCAGCCTTAATGGGGACCAGTTCATTTGTTGCTTTCTGGAAGCTTGATTGTGCCTGGTTGCTCCAGAGTGGCACGAGGGGAAGATACAGGAAGTTCTGTCCACTGGGCACAATTGCAGTCTCCGTGCTTCTTCATGGTTCCCCTGGAGAGAGAGAGAGAGAGACAGCTTTAGTTCTTGCTTTGGAATGTTTCTCTGTCTCTGCATCTTGTTCCTCAAGCCCTGCCATTAGAGGTTATTTTAAAACAAATGTAATTTGTAGTGGGGGTTACGTTTGGGGGCCTTTCAGCCTGGATACTGCATATTTAAGAGCTAGCTTCATTTTTCTAATCATTGATCCAGGACCAGTTCTGGACACAATTTACTTGTCCTGATTTATTTGTAACTTTGTCTGACATGTCTTGCCTTGGCAGGTCAGAGCTTAAAAATGTCATTCTGATTACAGTCTTGCTTTTCTCCTGCTTTAATGCTGATGTGATATTAGACCCTAATAACCACCAGAAACCTGTGCTTATTACACCTGAAAGCATGGAAACCCAGCTGTCAAATTATATAACTTATTAAACTCTCTCTCTTTGTTTGTAAGATATTAGGTGCTAAAAATCACATTGGAATGGAAGAGAGGTATGGAAAAGCAAAGTGGAAATCAAAATAATATGATTTTCAGGTCTGATGATATCATAGGCCGACTAGTGCTAGAAATGTAATTGTATAAAGCATTAAGCTTCACAGTGGTATA